TATATAAAATATATATATATGTATACAGGGTGTAGAAAGAGTCCAGGACCTCTTAAATATCTTGAAAAGTAATCATTTTTGAGAAAAATGTTTCATACAAAAGTTGTAAGGTTGAAAATGATCTATTGACTGACCTTATCAATTTGACCTTGGATGGCGCCAAGTCAAATCAAGGTCAAATCGATTTCTTTAAACGAAACATCCTATTTTTTATTTTGGAATTTAATAGTTCTAAGGTTGAGAGCTTTCCAAAACACTATAATAAAGCCTTTTTTTAATCAGTACTTTTCAAGTTATGAGAGTTGAAAGTTACGGAACTGCCGGTATTAGCATTATCTAAAGTATTATGTAGAGATTGCCCGACTGGATTTGTGAGTCATGTCCGCGAATGTCTGTATTTCTATCTCTTCCTCCCTTCTATCCTCTCCTTCTCCCCCTCCTTTTCCTCCTACTTCTTTCCATCCCCTTTCCCTCCTTCCCACCCTTTCAACAAAGCTAGAGACTACATAAGTTAGAGATTTCTCCTGTCAAGTTTACTCTTTCTGTGACCTGCGAAGGTATACTTTTTCGTGATACTCCGTTCTGAGATTGCTTATCGCCACATAGTTATCTTTGTTTATAAAGTATTTATTTAAAATATTTTATAATGCTTACAGAATAGGAGCGTATATCCCTTTTAATAATGCGAGGATGGGGTAATCGTAGGAGGTCTCACGCATATGTGACAGAACTCAAACTTCAATCAAACTTTTAGGAATGAGAATATACAATGTATATCTAAATCGACTGTTATTCGGATTGTACAACGTTTTGAAGAAATGAGTCTTGTAAAAGACCGTAATAGATAAGGTAGACCAATAATAGCGACAAATCCTGATAATGAATGTTCTACAGTCTTTTATTGAAGATTCGCATAATTTAATTCGCAAAGTTGCACAACATGACATCGAGCCTATGTCAGTTCATAAAATTCTAAAAAAGAAGAAATTTCATCCATATAAGATCCATCTGACGCAGGAACTATGTGAAGATGATTTTGACCGTCGCATTGAATTTTGAGAAAGTATGATGTTAAATATCGATAAAAATCTTTATTTGTAATCAACATTATTTTTTCAGAAGCTACTTTTGAGCTAACCGGGATTGTAAATCGACATAATTGCAGATATTGGAGCGATGAAAATCCTCATTGGATGTATGTGTACGAGGCACATAGAATCAGTAAAAAGTCAACATATGAGCTGGAATTTTAAATGAAGCCATTATTAGACCTTTCTTTATTGAAGATAATTTAAACGCTGACAATTACTTAGCTATGCTTCAAGATGAAATAGTTCCGGCAATCCGAAACATCGCTCGATAAAACTTCAATAATATTTGGTTCCAGCAAGACGCCACCTCATTACGATTTACGAGTACGCCAATATCTGAATGAAGTTTTTCCGAATAGGTGGATAGGAAGAAGGGATTACATTGAATGGCCAGAACGATCGCCTGATCTAAATCCACTCGACTATTTTTTGTGGAGATAATTAAAGGGAAAAATTTATAATACAAAACCTCGAAATCTTAATGATTTACGTCAACGAATAATAAATGAATTTAGAATCATGCCTCGCGAATTCTGCAGAAATTCAGTCTTAAGTTTTTATAATCGTTTAGCATATTTTCAGACTGCGGAGGGATGCCAAGTATTTTAGTATATTTGCTATAATATGTAATATTCTTTTAATCCTAGCTCGCCATACTGGGATATGATATATCTAATGCGATTTTTCACATTGCAATTCATTCTTTAACTTTTTATGATGTAATTTAAGAATAAATATTTTTTGTTTTATCTTTGTTTACTTGTTCTTGTCTTATTCTAGAGATATCAATTTTGCATGTAATAAGTTAAAAATGTTTTCTATTCAGAGATGTAATTGACGAAGTTCCCGGTGGAGTCTAGCCGAGAAAGTAACTAAAAATTGGTAGGTAAAGCGAGCTGGATTAAAGGAATGACAAATGCTCAAACGAATGACAGTTAATTTAGATATACCATTGTCTTTATTTCTAAAACATTGATTAAAAAGTCTTGTCGCTTGCGTAAGACCTCCTATGACCATCCCATTTTCGCATCATTAAAGAAGGGATATGAGTACGTTAGCTTAGGTAATGCTAATGCCGTGGCGGTTCAGTGACTTTCAACTCTCATAACTTGAAAAGTACTAATTAAAAAGAGGCTTTATTATAGTGTTTTGGAAAGCTCTCGACCTCAGCTATTAGATTCTAAAATCAAAAATAGGGTGTTTCTTTTAAAAAAATCGATTTGACCTTGACATGATCTTGGTGGCTCTTGGTGGCCATTCAAGGTCAAACTGATAAGGTCAGTCAATAGAATAGGTCATTTTCAACCCTACAACTTTTGTATAAAACATTTTTCTCAAAAATGATTACTTTTCAAGATATTTTTAAGATAAGGAGTCCGGGACTTTTTCTACACCCTGTATACACATATATATGCGGGATGTCCCAGAATGACTGCAAATATTTTGTGCTGGTAAAGCGGACTAACCAGCCAGTCAAAAATGATAATGAAATCGATATCGAATCGACATCGAATCGACATCGATTCGATGTCGATTCCATTATCATTTCTGACTGGATCGAAACTGAGTCGAAAAGTCTTCATTTTGCAATTTTCGCAGTAGTTAACAAGATGTTAATTACTAAAAATCGCCGAATATTGGTTTTTAATAATTTTTTACTCAAGTACAATACTATCGACTTATAATAGTTTAGTTTGCTCTACCAGCAAACGAAATATTTTGGCGGTCATTCTGACACTCTGCATATATATTGTACATATGTATATGTATACAGTGTATTTGATAATTAATTACAAAACTTTCGCAGTGATAGAATGGACTAAGCTGAGTCGAAAAGTCCTCTACTATTTTGCAATTTTCGCAATGGTTAACGAGATTAATTTATGAAAATAGTTAAATTTGCCTAAACTTATCGCCCAATGCAAGTGGGCAGCGAGATAAGACCGCCCAATGAAGTGTGCGTCCGCCGTTGCTAGGCATGTTAATGTCAATGTCGCTTATAAACAACCTAGTGACGAAGAACGTGTCTCTCTGGGTGGTCTTATTTCACCGCGTGCTTGTATTCAGCGGTAGATCGAATTTGACTAATTCCATAAATTAATATCTCATTAATCATTCCAAAAATTGCAAAATAGTAGAAGACTTTTTACTCAATTTAGTCCACTATACTAACACATGAAATATTATTCTGGGACAAAATCCACATAGGGTTTTTGACAATCGCTTTTGTGTAGATAGAGTGGACTAAACTGAGTTGGAAAGTAATTTTCGCAAAGTTAACAAAGTATATTAATTACTCAAAATTGCCAAATATTGGTCTTGAATAATTTTTTACTCAAATATCATCAATTTTACAGAAAAACTGCAAGTGACAAAATTATATTTTTTTCTCAGAACTGTAAGAATTTTTTCAAAATGTTTTATCAACTTTTTAGTACTGCATTTTCTTATTTTTATCAATATGAAAACATATGGTATTAAAAAATTCTGAAAAAATTCTGAAAAAATTCTCAAAACTTTATGAGAAGAAAACAAATGATTTTTTGTCTCTTGCAGCTTTTCTATAAAGTTGATAGTATTTGAGTAAAAAATTATTCAAGACCAATATTTGTAATTTTTGGTAATTAATATCTTATTAACTATTGCGAAAAATGTAAATTAAAAATTGTCAATTAAATAACAACAGATCTGTCCACATTTTACATAGAAAATGCACTCTGAGCAGGTTTATCAGGCACTTTGGGTCCTATGCATGTCGGTAAAAGGTACGAATTTGGTCCGGGTCCTTCATCTAGAAATTTTGTCACACCTCGTGACTTGATACTATAAGCTGGTACTCTACGATTGTGATTCATTGGTGGACACAACTCGGGAGAATATGCTCCGGGTCCAGGAACATGATCTGGCACTAGAAATATTAATATTATTAAGTGATGATTCCTTACACCGCACAGGAACGTCACCCACACAACCAGTTATGCGCGAGCTTGTCGCAGCGCGTGCGCGCGCGACGAGGCGCGAGTACCGCAGCTCAACCCCTAGGGGGCTGGCGCGTCTAGCGAAAATCGCGCTCAAGATCTACTCGGGAGATACAATATAAGGTCGGCGAGAAAGAGAGCAGCTCACTTGCACTCTCGAGCAAAGTTGTAACCAGTGGCTACAAAGCAGTGATGCAAATTCCGGACCGCTTGCAGTTACGGTTACTAGCATGAAGGAGGCATAAGAAGATACATACACTATGATGAGTCCATATCAATGTATACTTGCGCGTTGTGTGTCATCTATGCTCTCTTCATGCTAATAACAATGTTGCAAGCGGCTCGGAATTCGCAACACTGCTACCAATCTATATCATATTCATAGTGAAAGAGATAACATGGTGTATACAATTTGCAAACATCTTTCTCTGAACCTATGCCCTTTCTGTCTATGAATTTCGATAAGAGACTAAGGTTACCAACTGTGAAACGCTAAATGCTGGGGCGATATTCACAGTTCGTTTTTATTTTAAACTGTCTTAAATAATGCCTTAAGATAATACAGTCCTCGGATTGATTTATGACATCTTAAGACTGTACTTAAAACAGTCTTAAATGTAATATTGACTATGAATACGACCTGCTTCGTATCGTGAAATTGGTACTGAACTTGTTTAACGCACTTTATATTTTCTATAGAAAGAGAAACATAAAGTGTATTCTCTTTCTATAGAAAGAAAAACATAAAGTGTGTTAAACAAGGAAAGATTCAATACCTATTTCACGACGCGAAACAAACTGTATTCATAGTCAATTCTGCATTTAAGACTGTCTTAAGTACAATCTTAGGGTCTGAATAATTGTCGTAACACTTACTTAGACTTAAATTGTAGATGTAAGTAACGCACAAGCTTTCACGTATGACGTACAACTTATTGTCGTGTCTCCAAGAGTACGTCATACGCCAAAGCTTGTGCGTTATTTACGTCTACAACGTAAGTTTCTAAAGTAAGTGTTACGATAATTCTTGTGTTCAGATCCTTAAGATATCATAACTCAATCCGCTATATTAACATCTTAAGACATTATTTAAGACACTTAAACGTTACACAATTGGCAGCCTCTTAGTCTCTTATCGATATTCATAAACAAAGAGGAAATTCAGAGAAAGATGCTTGCACACACCATGTTATCCCTTCCACATGATCGTATTACGAGACGAGCGAAGATCCTATCGACACAGTATATACAGTATATACAGTAGCGCAATTCTCTGTCGGCAACTTTGATGTTGGCCAAAATGGAGCGCGCATATGTGAAATAAGTAAGTTACCTAGCGTTGCCATGGTTACCACTTAAACTTTTTTCTCTTTTCACTCTGTCAAAATTCTTCGCAAAACTCGTTAGATTTATTCGCATCGCAATCCAACGAATTCGTTGAAGTGAGTAAGTGCTATTGTAGAAATATAATACATATTGGAGTATATTGGAGCATGCGACGAGAATAAACCTAATATTGCAATGAAATAATTGAAACTTTATGAAAATTAATAAAAATAAATTGTAAATATATTGAAAAATAAAGAAAAAATATAGAAAAATTAGGAAAGATATTAAATTAACTCAAAAATATATATTTGTATAAAGAAATATTATGTAATTATATCTATGAAAATATTATGAGAAAGCTGATATAAAAGAAATTTATATACATATATGTCCAAAAAATATGTTTAAAATACAATAAATAAAAAGAAATCTTTCTTGCTCGGTTTTCTATGTTATTTTTGTTCACTTTTTCACAAAAATTAGATCAATTTCTCACACAACATTTCACCAAATGGACAATACACGCAATACTTTTTTCTAAATTTCTACTTTGAACCATGTATGTTTGAAAGACAAATGTTTAAGTGGAACATTGAAATATATTATTTAAATAGAGAGAGCAACAAAGAGAGAGAGAGAGAGTAATAAAAAAAGAGGAAAAAAGACGAGGCAACTCATTTACTTATTTCACGCATGCACACTCCATTTTAACCAACATAAAATCAGGAGAGTTGCTGTATATACTGTGCTACCGGCAAGATTACCGCAGCAATCGCTGCAGCCGAATAGCAGAGGTGCCCAGCAGCAGCCGGACAGTAGCGGAGGCACAGCCCATCAGCAGCAGCTGATCAGTAGAGCCACGGAGACACCACAGCTGGACAACAAAGGTGCCGCCCAGCAGTAGCCGATCAGTAGAGATGCCGCTCAGCAGCAGCAGCAGCAGCTGACCAGCAGAGTTGCAGCGATGCCGCGACCTAGCAGAGGCGCAGCGCGGACGCTAGCCAACAACGAACCAACATGGTCTCGCAGAGGAACGGCAGCAACTAGCAGGCGTGGCCAGCAACGGAAGCAGCAGATGCTAGTGACTCCACGCTCACCGTTACTAGCGAGATGGAGACCCATCTCGCTCGACGTTTCACCGCAGCGTTAGCGACACGGCCGCTGAGGATACTGCTCAGCATGTAGGACTGCCGGTTCCGGAGATAGGATCTGAGCACAAGAATTGTCATAACACTTACTTAAATTTAAATTGTGACGTAAGTAACGCACAAGCTTTCACATATGACGTACAACTTATTACCGTGTCTCCAAGAGACGGTAATAAATCATACATCATACGCCAAAGCTTATCAGCTACTTACGTCTACAACTTAAGTCTCTAAGTAAGTGTTACGACAATTCTTGTGCTCAGACTCATACACGTCGCCATTCCGGCTATCCTCTTGCTGCTGCCTGTGATGCCGCCTCGGATCACCGGCATGCAGACGTCGAGCAACGAATGGGAGATACCATAGAAGCAGAGATTAATGGAGCTCTCACCGCATACGCCACCGGAGCCACCACCGACCTGGCGAAAGAGAGTTGCCTTCCGACTACCGTTTATGGGCCAATCAGAGGAAGTTGATAGTAACAATAATGAGCTCTGGGGCCCCGCTGAGTAGACTCTGAGTGTATTGCATACACGACGTATCGCCATAATATACACCGCCATAACTGGCGACTACATACCTTCATCGCCATATTAAATATTAATATTATTTTCCTAAGCTTCAAATTAGGAAAGCACTATTTTATACTCACTAATCCAAGCTTTTCTTCCTCTGATTGTGTAAGCAGGTGGATTATCTGACCCAGATTTTGTTAAATTTCTGACATTGTAATGAGGACCAGGCCCTATCACAGATGCCTTTATATCAGTTCGAGCTCGTATGCTATATGCTGGATTTCTATATCGAGATGGATCATGACCGTTGTAGCCAACTAATGTTGGTAATTTATAAACTGGACCAGGACCTGTATTTACAAATCTATATTAATATACAATATAAGATCAATGGTTTATACGATGTTTGTATTGTTAAAAATAAATAATTACAATAAGATTAGAGAGAAAATTATTTATGTGAGTACATCATAAATAGTTATACTGACCGATAAATTTAAACTTTTATAGACCATGAATGGGACAAAATCTTTACAGACTTTTTGTCACTGAGAATGAATCCCTTTGAAAGAATTAAACCTTTAAAAATCCTAAAAATAGCATTTTTTAATACTTTTAAAGTAAATTTTAAAAATGTGATGTGTTACAACAATTTCTTTTATGGGTTCATTTCCACAAAAAATCTGTATAAGATTTACTTTGTTCTGTTCATGGTATAAAATCTATCAGATAATATTATTATCAAACAGTTCACCCTTTATAATACAACTTAAAATTCCTGGTTTATTTTCTTTGCCTTCCATTTTTACTGTTGCTTGATGTATGTGACAGGCATAATAAAATCTATAAAAACCAGTTTAATGTATAAAAATTTTTCTCATGATAGACAGCAAACTATACATAAATAAAATTTGAAGGTCTGAATTTCAAGTTGATATGTTCGCATCAATTAAAGCCTGTTATTATAAAAATGAAATAAATGATATTTTCAAATATTTTATAATTGACAGCTTTTTATTTAAACAAACTCTATTACAGTTATAAATATCATCAAAATTATCATTTTCTTCTTTATCAATATCGCTGTTATTATAAATGTTATCATCTTGTATAATAACTAAAGATCTTATTCTCATTAGTAATACACTTTCTCTTCTTTTCAGATTTGTTTTATCTTTATTTCTGTCCTTACTGTCAATTTTATCTGTATCAATATTCAAACTAGAATACTAGGTTTATTATTATTTTTCTTATTTTCTATTAAAAATAAAATAGGATAAAAGTTTCTTATTATATGAAAACATATATTTATGCCAATTATATGTACATAATAATAGAAAAAGGATAACTTTGACAACATCATCAGAGTTGTAAAAAATTATCTTAATAAAGAATTTCAGAAGTATCTAAATACTTATTCCACGAAAACACAAGTTTTAGATCGTATTTAAATCATAGATGATATATAATATATTTTACAATAGGAAAAAAAACACAATTTCTTTATATTTCATGGAAATTTACAAATTGTATACAATTTAATTATAATTATAATTAATACAATTAAATGATAAGAGACAAATTTTTTTTATATAACATGATATTTTATGACATTTTATGTCATCAAAGTTTTTATTAAATTAAAGAGTGAACAAAATATTAAATAAAGAAATATTTTTAAATAAAAGTTTTTTAAATAAAAAGTCTTTTTTAATAAAAAAAAATTACATAAATATTTAGAAGTAATTGTTATAATAAATTATTAAGGCTCCTGAGTAGTCGCCGCGACCAAACTGAATCGTGATGTCAGAAATGACACAATTTTTGTTACATACTATAAATTTATACATATATAAATTGTTACATACTAAAAATTTGTAAATAAAGACAATTTGGATAAAACAAATTAAGATCACTTTAAAATATTTGTAAAAATGAGGCTATCTTTGTCCCGCTAACAGTCAGTAGTAAATTAAATTTGTAAAAATTAATGTGGCATTTCTATTCCTTCTGACGTCACGATTCACGACGGCCGCAGCAATTATTCAGGAGCTTTAAGGGAATTCTAAATCTAAAATGTATAAATAAGATAAATTAAATTGAGTTGTCGAGATAGCAAATAAATATAAATTAATTGACAGGCAATTGAAAGTAAAAATAATAGACGTAGTTCTTAGAGTTAATAAATATATTTTCTGGAGACCTGCATATAATTAGAAATCGGATGTTTTGGCTCCGTTAATTCGAGCAATCCTCAGCGATGTCCAAATAATAAATTTAAATTAAAAAATTATTCGCAATGATTAGGTCCAAGAGAGCAGCCGAGAGAGGTTCTTCAATTTCACATTTGAGAAGCATCGTTGTCAGTTAGTTGTCTAGCAGGTGTTGAATGAGCACTAAAGATTGACGTAATAAATTACAAATGATAAAGATATATTAATATAAGTGCTATAAGCATTACCACAGATGGCATTATCATCGATCGGATATATGGTTATGCTATGCTATAAAATATATTAGCATATACAGTGATAAAGATATAATTTTGTAATTTATTAGTAGTTTAGTAGACGTGTATCGGTGTATATGTGTTTAAAACTCAATAATACTCGATTTTTCTTTAAAATTGTAATTTCAGTGTTATCGTCAAAGTTTGATTATCAACAAAAATAACTGCAGAGAAAAAATTGTATTTTTCGACATTATATGGAATATTATAATTTTACAAATATGCATATTTATTTATGAAGCATTTATGTAATAAAAAATCATGAATTTAGTAATATATTAGCCAAATATTTATGTTAATAATAGCAAATTTATATCAATTGTTAATAATGTTAGCGTTTTTCAATTATTTCCGGGCCCTTGGGGCCTTTTTTATGCAGCCGAATTTGCCTAGGATTGACAGTCTTTAATAATATCTCGTCGATGATAGAACTAATCAAAGGATTCATGAGTTGCAAACTATTGGGTCATCTAAAAAGTATCCGCGGTTTTTTATCACTGATGTGTTGAACATCAATACCATCTAGTGACAAAAAACCGCGGATACTTTTTAAATGACCCAATATAAACCATATCTAAAGTAAATTATGGAAAAATTTTTATCTTCATAGTTTGCAGCTGGTCAGTTCTTCGATTAATTCTACATATCTTTATCACTGCTTATCATTTCTAATTCACTACGTCAATCTTTAGTGCTCATTTAACTAGAAAACTAACTGACAATGATGCTTCTCAAATGGCTGCTCTCTTGGACTTAATCATTGCAAATAATTTTTTAATTTAAATTTATTATTTGGACATCGCTGAGGATGATTCGAATGGAGCTGAAACGTCCGATTTTATCTAATTATATGTAAGGTTTATAGTTAACAAATATATTTCCAGGAAATATATTTGTTAACTATATCGCTCTAAGAACTGAATCCATCTGTAAGTCTTTTAAGTCTTAAGCCATAAGATATGAATGAATCTTCAATTATTCTCTTCGCATTCGATTGTAATTGGTCAATTTCTTAAGGCTTAAAATATTTATTGTAGATCCGGACTTGTCAATTCAATAGGACTCACAAACATACAATTTAAGTGTCAGTAACATATCAGTACACACTACTATATCAATATCGCACGCACATATATGTATATATTTTATAACTAATTAATTTTTTATATTAGATATCTAAGCTAATCCTACGAACACAATGATCGTATTTAACACTCAACTGTTGCGAAGCGGATCCATGAGCGCTCATTGCTATTAGATAATTTAAAAGAATACACCAATGGCAGCGAACATTCACGGATCTGCTCTGCAACAACTGAATCTGCTGAACGCGACAAATATTGTTTGTTCATATATATAATCCCTAGTCCAAACCAAACTTATTTTATATAAAGTATAAAATTTATATATATTATTGCGAGTCGATATCAGAAGCCGATAAAAAAACTGCAATTTTCCAACTTTTTTCATTTTTGACATAAAGTCGACCAGTTTGGAGTACATTATCACTTACACTTTAATTGTGAGAAAGAGGGGAAGGATTTTTAAATCTGTAAAGGTAGATAAAAAAATATTTATTTAAAAAACAATCAGTAAAACAATTTTAGAATCAAAATTATGATTAAGAAATTCTGTGATATTGTATATTATATTGAATTTTGTAAATTAATAATAATCAATATAATTTTTTTTCCGAAATATCTAATTTGCCCAATGGTTGTAATGTTATATACACAAATATCTTATCTATTAAAAAAACAAGAATATGAAATCAGAGTTTTTTCAGATTTATTTATACACTTACATATTAGTTAAGTTTATAATACCTGCGTTTTGATGTGTCATGATAATTTTTGTATGTTTTATATAGGAATGGGTAACTCTTTTGCAACTAGCACTAAGATTTGGTCTATACTCAGACACCAATTTGTTATATTTTTGGAAACTTTGCACCAATTTTCGCCATGATGAGGTTCTGCGGCTATACATCTCTTTTTTATATCTTCTTGCTGTTCTTCTGTACCATTCAGTAGTTCGAATTTGTAAAAATACGCCCATGCATCGCCTAAATCTGAATCTATTTTCACCGTCCTATTAAACCAATCTCTACACTTCGAAATCTTGTGCTCGCACCAAAATAATCTGTAATGGAAACATCCATACAATGTTTGCATTACTTTAAAAAGAAAAAAAGAGGGAGGAAGAAAGGAAGGAATAGAAAAGAGACAAAAGAGGAAAGGAAGGGGAAACTCAATTATTTTGAATATAAATACTCAACTTCTTTATATTATTTTACATATAATGACTTGATATTTTAATATTCTAAAATTTTAAAAGAACACTTACTTTGATACTGCCAAAAGAACGTAAGGATCATGTTCGCATTTTTTAGTGGCATCGATACTTTTCGTTTTCCGTTGAGGTCGAGGTTCCATAAAAATTGCTTCTGCCCAGAGCAGTCCAGATGTGGGACATTCTTGTAATGCTTTAGCCATTAATGTATTTGCCATATCGCGCGCACCACCTTTTTTTAATTCATTCCGTATAGCTTCCAGCCATAACTCCGCATTTTTAGGATTTTTAAGTCTTGCTTTTTCCAAAACTGAACGCGCTTTAGTCACTTGATTTTTCCTGTGCTCCAATCGCGCTAGCAGACACCACAAAGGTATCGAATTTGGACATTTCTTGATCTATAATGTATAAAAAAAGACATACATAACTTTATTTGCATTCGCATTATATTAGAAAAAAATCGTTTTTACCGCTTGATTATATGTATCTATTGCTTTGTCTAAATATCCTTGTTGTTCTTCAATTTGACCTTTCATTAGCCACAATTTGGGGAAGTCATCAAAGGCTTCGAGAGCTTCTTTTAATAGATGTAATGCTGCGTCAAGATTATTAAGAGCCCATTCCAATTTGGCGCTTTTCATCATTACTCTAGGCGTCGGAGCGGATGCTCTGGCTTTTGCCAATAAACGTCGTGCTCTCTCATATTCTGAATTTTCAGATTCGAGTTTCACAGCTGCCAACCAAATTTCTTCGGAATTTGGATTAGCTTGAAACGCGAGAGACAAAATACCTCTAGCTGCTGGTACATCGCCCTGAAAGCAATAGAATTGCAGATAAAAAGAAATGATAAATAAGAGAAATAAATGTTATAAACGTATAAATTATACGAGTGAATCTACTTACAGCTAGCCATTTTGATTTTGCACCCATCAACCAAAGCACTTCGCTCTTGGGACAATGAGCGACTGCTCTTTGTAATAAAGTTTCCAAAGATTCCCGCGTGCCATATGTCTTTTCAAAATAAGCTGCACGTAGCCAAATTGATTTCTTACTAGGAAATGTCGTTAATGCATAAGCATAGACAGCTCTGGCACATTCCAATGCTCCTTGTTGAGCGCACTGCAAGCATATTTTTTAAATATAAATATTCATTTCGCATATATATCATTTGTTTATATAAGAAATTACAAAATTATATAGAAAATTATTAGTCTCACAGCTTCAGCATCTTCCATCCAAGTATGTTTTCTGTCCTCTTCTTCTACTCCAAAACCGATAATAGCTTTAACAATAACTTGACAACAGTGCACTGCTCCTGCTTTTTCAGCTTCCATAGCTTCTTTAAACCAATGTTCCCTATTGATCTCTACTCCATTCGCACTTAACGAAGATATAGCACGTTCGATAATCTTCTCCACCATATGTTTATTGCCATTTGCTTCTTCCAATTTTGCAGCAGTAGTCCAAATTTGTCTATCGGTTGGGATATTCTCTCTAGCTTTATTTAAGACTTTTCTTGCATTATCATAAGTTTCCAATCTAGCAAGAGCAAGCCACAAATCTACACTAGTCGGACAACATTCGACCGCACGACTGAGCAAGATTCGTGCATCCTCGGGTTCTTCTAACTCAACAGCCGCTTTCCACAGTCGGACCGAATTTGGGATATGTTCTAGTGCCTTTCGATATACTCTTCGCTTCGCTTTTACTTCCGTTTCTAAATCCGCGGCCTTTATCCAAATTCTCACAGATGTCGGAATGTGGCGCACTGATTGTGCTATTACTGCTTTTGCTGTATCTGGTGGCTGCAGTCTTGCAGCTTCTAACCACAGATCTTCAGAAGTAGGGTTAACTTCGCATCCTTTCATTATTAAGTTTCTTGCCGCTTGAACCTTTCCAGTCACCTCTTCTAGACGCGCAGATGCAATCCATGCAGGAGGATGATTAGGATTAGTTTCTCTGACGGATTTTAACAATAATCTGGCTTTCTTTATGTCGCTATAAAAATAAAAAAATTGTATTAAAGGTCTTATCCATTTATAAAATTTTGAAATTAAATATTACTTTAAAACCAAATATGTACAATAATTATTTACTTACTTTATGTCTCCACCATAAGTAGGTATCATACTCTGTAAATCCGTAAGGTATCCTTTTGGATCAACTACAGTTTGGCCTTCTACAGAATCAGAAACCTGATTCAGCTTGACATTCATTAATGTGTTTCTGGCCTGTCCAATCTTCCTGAGATCAAGATCCCCCGTAGGAGTTAACATACCAGGTGTCGCCACACCTGGCATCATGGAAGCGAGACCGCTAGATGGATCAATGCTAGTAGATGTCTCTCCTCCTAAATTTCTCGCCAGTACAGAATCTGGCAACGGAGTGAACTTTTCTGCTCTTGGATTACGCTGCTTTCGATTTCTAGCATCTCCTACTTCAGGAACATTCTTCCATTCATCTTCAGTTACATTAACCAATTCTCTTTTTAAGTCTGAGAATTGCTGTTGAATCTTGGGACGTTCCTGACGATAACGTTCCAATTCTTCTCTGAGACGCTTTTCCCTATATTCTTTACGTTTTTCGTCCATTCGTTTGTCAATAGCCTCATAAATAGCATCTGCTTCTTCATCATCTTTATCATAAGGATCCTAACATAATATGAGAATATTAATATTTACATTATTATTTAACAGATCTTTCTACTTACTTTACTAAAAAGAGAACCTCCATATCCTGAAAATTCATCATAATTTGAATCGTTCAAATCTTCTTCATCTTCTTCCTCTTCT